CGGACTTTTTCTGACTATTTCTGGGAGATAAGGAACGCGCATAATAGCAATACAGGCATACTGTTTCACTAATGCATGCATACTTTTCCGATTGTGAAGTAAATTGGACAGTGATTTGACGTATGCAGACAATAATTTTGACGTCTTGTGCAAGAAAAAAAGAGTTATTCATAAATAAAGAACTATAATAACTAAAGGGACGCAGATGTGTATGTAACTTTGTCTCTTTATTATTTTTTAGTTTTTAGCTTAAATAGCTCGCGCGAAATGTGTATTATAATACGACGTTCACGTCCGACATTTTGGTCAAAATGAATTCTCATAACTATTGTCAGGACGCCGGATCTGTCACTTTCATCGCAATCGAAATGTTCATTAAAGAGAAATTTTTGTACGTGGCCATTTCATCGCAAAAGATTGCGATAGCTCGATAGCGATTCATCGCCGGAGATATATCGCAGCAGATGAACAATCGCTAATGGAGACAGCAAGTTATGGAACTGTACGATGCCTTATATGTAGCCAGAAAAATAGAAATAGATACAATATGGCTACAACCACAGTCGCGGTGTAGCTTTGTCGCTCTCTCTGAAGTCAATGCCCGTCGTTTTCAATGTGTTTCATGCATGAGCTCCCAAAATAAAACGGAAGATGACCAGAACAAAGTGCAGGTGAACAGATTTAGCTATTTTTTACTTTAGTGAAAATGGTAAAACAATTATTTTTCTATTATTAAATTAAAATGCCATAGTTTTATCAAAATTTAATAAATATTTCTAATTCCAATAATTTAACGGTCTTATTGTAGCATCCGGTATACAGATAAAACAGCAAACTCAAAGCTAGATCTGTCTTAATTTGGAAATATAATTGAACTTTGGCACATTGAATCGCTGACATAGGCGAATGAGTTCACTTTCACCAGTTACTTGGAAGCTTGGCGAACCTGAAATTACAGATTAGATTGTGCAATAAAAAATAATGGCTACCAAACGTCGACCATTGCGTACAAGCATGCCCGGTCCAAGTTCTTCTAACATGAATTTCAGACCCGGTGGTCCAGACGTCAAAAGGGCAGAATCAAAAGGCACCCGCCCCACAGCTGCCCCCAGCAGCGTTAGAGAAATA